ACAAGGCAAATGAGAAAAAAAATAGAACGCAAGTAAAAAACAAAAATTCTGTTCGAAATGCAGAAATAAATAAGAGAGATCGTTTCCCTAGTGATCGATTATCCATTGAAAAACAACTTTAATGTAACAGAAATTTTTCACTTCATGTACTTTGTATTAGTATAATCAGGCTAACGAACACATGTGTGTTCCATATTTTAGTCTCAAACAAGTTGTGCTACAAACTATTTTAATTACAAAAAACTTCTGCTTGACTATTTCAATAGTTTATCTATATTTTTGAAATGAATTGATCTCAAGAGTTTCATAATGTGTCAAAAAGAAAAATCTTTATGGAAAAATACTAGTAGCTCTGAATGATTAAAATAAAATATTGGAAAGACGTTAGAAAAAAATATAACATATAAGTGACTTTCTTTCATAGAAATGAAAAAGAAAAACTAATGATTAAGTTTTATATAAATTGTTTAAAATTAATTTTACCATCTGAATCCATATCATCATCATCATTTGTTGATTGTTTTGATGATGATTGATCATCATCATTATTTATTATCTGATGTTTCATAGTTGAATGAACCCATTGATCACATGAAATATATCTATCATCATTCGATGATAATAATAATAAATTAGATTCATTTGAATTTTGTTCTAATTGTGGTGTTTGTTCATTTGAACGCATTTGTATTGGTGTTGTTTCATCATTTTGTCCATTAAATTGTTGTTGATGAAGTGTTGATTGTTCAAGCATTTGTTGATATTCTTGTCGATAATAATTTGGTGGACGTTTTTTTTTTAATTTTCTATCACTATGATGATGATTACGTGAAGATGATGATTGTTTAGTTATTTTTAAATTTTCAACAGATGAACTTTTAGATGAATATGGTGGAGATGTTAATGCTGAACTTGTTGATTCTTGATGAGATGAACTTCCATTACAAGAATTATATATTGGATATGAAACAGCTGCAACATTTGATGGTGATATAACAGATGGAACATCGAAACCAAATTCAATTGTTGTTGTCATACAATCATCAGTTGCCCATGGAAACTAATATTAAATTAATAAGAAATATATATATTCAATGATTATTTTTATTTATAAATATCGACAATACCTCAGGTTCATTTATCTTCACACATTGTTTATCATGACCGAAGAATTTTTCTGTTTCTTGTTCAGAAAAATCGCCAAAAACAAAATCCTATGAAATTAAGATGTTTTTTTTTTTTTTTTTTTTTTAAAAAAAAAACTAATTATTATATATATGTAAACAACTTACGGCCATTATGAGAAATCAAATAATAAAAAGAAAAATAAAATGAATTTTAAATTAATGTATGTTTTTTATTAATTGTGGTAATATAATCGATTGATTTAACTACATAATGTTTAAAATGCATCATAAATGTTCTTGTACTGCCTAGAAATCATCATCTACAAATAAGATTATTTCAGTTAACTGCGTAGTTTAATTTGATTTTGATAAAATATAAATGATTTATTTGTAATACTACCGCTATTTCAAAATGATTAATTCGTGGTTAAACCTTGACTAATGATGTATATCGTCATAAGAAAAGATTGTTTTTTTTTTTCTTTAATACAAAGATATCTTTTCTATTAGTTGTTTATTTGTTTCTAATGTTGTTGTCGAGGCTATCGAACGTTCGTTTGTTCGGACGATTCACTAGGTATTTTGTGTTGACCAATGAAAATTAGTTTGAGGAATAAATTGTTTCCCCTTTTTTGAAGTTCATAAAAATAAGAAAGAATTTTAAAAAATTCAATTTTTTTCTTATTGATAACGAAATTATCAATTAATTTTTTGATATTTTGAATAAACAATAGAAATCAACAAAACTTTTTTTTTAATTTTATTTAAATAAAATAATACATAAATAATATTTATTTTATAAGAAAAATTCTTTATTTAAAAATTCTTTCAGTGAAACGAGAGACATCTATGGCTCTTATTTATCTAATATAATTAGAAAGAAAAATGTAGTAGGTAAGTTATTTATCAAGTTCTAGTTGACTCATTCTTTGTCAGCAGATTTGACTGCTTTTAATATGCATCTGATTCATAATTTTGAAAGAATGACTCGTATACGATAGTTTAGATGCTGAAAAGTTCTAGATTTAGTTTACAATTAAATGAATATTTTCCTATTACGAACAGCATTTTGTAAATATGTCTTTCAGACTGAAAATGTTTTGCTGGTGCTGCTATCTATAATTTTCACTGAGATGGTTCTTATTAGAGTGACAAGAATATGTTGATAGCCCTAATGACTATATGATAAATATGTTTGTTCTTCAGCCTTTGAGTATAACTTTGTCTTCATCTATAAAATAAATGTACCAATGAAAAGACAAAACTTGCCATTATAATGTGGTCAAAGTGCTTGATGTCCGTACGATTTTACGACATATAATGTCAATTCTGTCTGTCTTCGACATTGAAGAGTGACAAGTGAAATTTTTTATCAAAATACTACTTTTCATACTTATCTATGTCAATCAAATATGACAATTTCTCTCAATCTTATCTTTCAGTCTCTATTTGCATATAATCTATACAGTACTAAATTGAGAAGAGAAAATGTACTTTTGATGACCAAATTTACGAATTGCGATATTTCGTCATAAACTTTTTAGAGCATCTATTTCTTTTCAAATATATATATATATATATATATCTGTGAATAGATAAATGCAATAGTATGGACTTGATGTGCTTATTTGTAGCCAATTTTCAAATGAGATCAATCATAACTTCAAGAGTTCGGATTAGAGCTCTGCGTTGGACTCTACCGGAGTCGGAGTTAAAGTGACTGTGAAGAATTTTTTCGGGAGTCAATGTCAGAGTGACATCATAAGAACAGTCAGGTATTTTTACTATTACATAGCAACCACCTAATGCTTGATATGTTAAGTAATAAACAAAAATAAATTTCAAAAAAAACAGAAAAGTTCTCATTAACAAATGACACAAAAAGAAGTATACAATGTCGCCAAATACTGATCGTACAAATTTAGTTTCAAATGTTCCCGTAATGGTAATTTTCACAAAGAATCTGAATAGTAGCCTGAATGAAGAAAATTGTTTCCAATAAGGATTTGAGGAAAATAAAATGTTCACAGTATGCTCGAAATCCAGGATTTCTATAAAACCTGAAGCCTACCTTTTTCAGCACATAGAATCCAGACAAAAAGCTTCTTTTTACTTTAAAGAGCAACTGATGCTTTACAAAATGACACATCTCCGAGCTCTTCATGGCATGTTTCGACGGAATCTACATCGATATTCAGAAACGTTCAAAAATAGTTTTTTGGCCTTATTCTAAGGGAAAACTGAACGACAAGGATTTTTTGAAAAGAAGTCTTTATTTTCTGGTTCTAGAGATTGGACAACTAGATTTTAGGTTTCCTAGATATGTTGGGAATATTTTGAATACTGTATTTCGTTCAAATTCTTGTTGAAAACAATTCTCTATTCAAACCAATATTCTAATTCTTTATGTGAGTTAATATCATGGAAAAAAAATCAAACTTAAATTTATATGATCAAGTTTTGGAGTCCCTGTATACCTCGGTCAAAAAATTTCCAGAGTTGTTCGGAGTCGGCATTCAACAGAAGATATTAATGGAGGTGAAATTGAGACTGAAGAAGTGATAAATTTCGAAGTCAACGTCGAAAAAAACTTGACTCCTCAAGGCTCTAGTTCGAATGGGTCTAAGTGGTAATATTAACTAGTGTCGCATAGGACAACTCACTACATGTTAGTGCCTAAAAACAGTTTTCAGGGAGTAAGAAAAAAAAAGTATGAATGTTTGAAAATTCGAAAGAAAAATTATCATCGATTTCAGTTGACAATTGGTTTTAATTCAACAGGTTCGTCAAATCGCAAATCATGGTATTCTTTTGTTTACAAATATGTGTGAGAAGCAGTAATTGCTGTAGAGAAGAAATAATCAAATATCGCTACTCGATATTTCAGTGATCACAAACAATTATCATCCTATTGAGAATGTGTATCTGTCTGTGGGTATCAAGCGACTTTAATGAGGCACAGTCATCCATTTTCATTTGTGAATCAAACTCTGTTTTCATTGGTACATTAACTTCACTGCACTTTCAAAAGTGTATTAAATTTGTATTAACGTTTTGACCAACCACATTTTTTGATATACTACTAACATCTCTTGATTATATCAGGCCTAAATCATGTAAAATAATTCTGCATGTATTCATTGCTTCAAGATTTGATCAAGATGTCATTGGTAAGAATCAAATATTATAATAACTACAAGAAAGAAATGTCTTTTAATCTCTCTGACACTATAAAAAAAATAATTCAAATACACTCGTATCAAAACAAGAGACAATAGCTTTCACTTTTTTTTAGAAGATATTCAGTTAAAACTCGAATGTTGTATGATAAGTAATATTCCATGAAAAATATAGAAAAATTAAAAATCATCAGGAAAATTTAAGGCTAGAAATGGTTCTTGTTAGTTTTATTATAATTGTAAGAATGCCTGAACTCATAAGGGGTCAAATTTCAGCATTATTCAATGTAGAAATATAAGTTTTTTGTTTTTAATAAATGATACCTCTTCAATATGTGAACTATTTTATTGTTTAAGTCTTCCGACAATTTTTTTTACAAGTAAATTTCTTATTTTAAGTAAAGAACATTGAGACAAAGAATAGTCGTATCTTTTTCGATCTATTCGATTGAATCAGATATAGTTGATTCTTCATCTTGGTCACACTGTTAATAATTTCTAAAAGATATATGTTCTATATTCCCACTAACAAAATTCATAAAAGTAAGGCTGATGATGGATCGTAAATTGCCAGTTGAAAAGTGCAGAATATAGTCTTGTGTATGAATATGTAAATTCCTGCAATTTATTCGATTCATCTTTTCTTTTTTATAGCACTGTTTTAATAATAATAAAACGAAATATAAACTAAAGTTTAAACTTTCGATGACTTGGTAAACGTTGTTGAGCTAATAATATTATCATTTTTACTTTCAACTTCGTTTAATTCTCTAGTAAATTGTGCTACCATTTTTGATGAAGTTAGTTCACGATTTTGCTCAAGTGTCTCGAGTGATGATTGACATTGTGCATCAATTATATGAAAATGTTCAAGTATAGAATTTAAATGTTCACTATTATTTTCAACATAATTTGTTTTATGTAAAAGAAGATCGACGAGTCGACGAACAGCAATATGATATTGTTTATTTAAGCGTTGTTTATGTTTTCTTTGTCGAGCACGAACACATTCAGCTACACCTAAATCATATAATCCTTTGTTTCTAAATCCTAAATAAAAATCGTTAACTTACTACTAATAATTCTAACAAAACGCCACAAACGAAATGAAAATTTAAATACTTTTTTACTAAGAATTTTCTTTTCGCTACTTAAAAAATACAAATCAATAATTAATGATACGATAACAGTGAGTGCATCGAAATACTCCATTTTTTTTCTTCGAATATTCCAAAATTCTTTTCCAGATGCATATATTCTAAACAAGAGTTCAACAATAAAAAAACTCAAAATTGCTATGGATGTATAATGTGACATTTCCATAAACAATTCAATACGTTCTTTGATCATTTCATAATAATATTTTGATAAATGATGCATATAACTTTCACATGTGCTTTGAATTTTAAATGATTCTACCATTATTTCAGCAATTAGTAATGATATATCAAAAATAATTAAGAAAACAACGAGGAAACGAAAATAAAATGATTCAATAATGCGGCAAATGACTTGTTGATGATGATAACCTTGATTCCACCATTTTGAATTACATTTCATCGAATTTGATGATATGGTTCCTTTCTCATTGATAGCAAATTTATCAGTTTCTTTTTTGCCGATCATATGTATTAATTGATGTGGATTAGTAGCTTTGACGAAATAATAATTTCATGCGTGTATACAAAAGTACGAAAATGAGAATTGGTATGTCGTCATAAAGATTAAATGATGCTTCTTTCTGCCAATTAAGATGTTATACGCATATGACCAGTGACATCTCTATGCAGACTTGATGCCATGAATAACTCAAACAATCTCGTATAAGATACAATAGAACTGAAAAAGAAACCGCCTATGGAACACAGACATGGTTGTAAACAAAAGGAGACGGAGATACACAACAATTTCTACGATCTCTTGGTACGATCATATACATCTGTGCCGTATGGGGAAAATTACAGTATATTTATGGAGAAACACAGCTTTTCATTGCTTTCGTACATAAAAGCTGTGGTTTGTCTTTGTTTTTCTCCATATATGATCTCATTGTTCCATTCACAGTGAAACAGATATAAGATGAAAACACGGTTGTATACAGAGAAATACGAAACGTGCATGGTCGTTTACAGACAGATACATTTTCGTGATATGCCTATTATCGAGAATTCTCATTTTATTCATAATGTATCTCGTAAGAGACTGTTTCTGGATAGACGACAATGCTGTTCAAGACTGGCCACATTCGTTTTACAAGTTGCATGTAGAAGTATTCATAAAATATTGACCTATTATAAATACATCTCAAAAGGTCATTTTGATCTAAATTCGGTGCGAATAAATACTGTAAACAAAGAGAGAACTGAATTTCGAAGATATACTGAAGACCAATGATGTTATTCTTGTTATCATGGACTAAATGAATAAATTTTCTATTTTATACCAAAACAAAGATGTAACAATATAGACTAGAGAAAAATATCTGTCAATGAAGCCACAAATCAAGAAATAATTAAAAATTAAAAAAAAACTAAATAAAAACTTTACACAATTTTTTATCTCATAAAGAAGACCAGCATATTGGTGTATCATGAAATTTTCTGACATAAAATAATCTAGATACAAAATATTCTAGCTGTATTCAACATCAGAACTGCTTAGAATCAATCTGCCTGTTTTCCTGTGATTTGTGAAGGTTCATTAGAAACCGTTTTCACTGTTTTTCGCGTAGTTGATCTTTTAGGTATTCTTATTTCATTCAAGTTCTAAATGGATAGAAGGAAAGGAAGTATAAAAATACTTTTTTTTCATTATCAATTCAAGTTCTGGTTACCGTATGAATAGTAGATGCTATTCTTACATTTGTATCAAAATCAATTGGTGAGAGTACCTTTTTAAATCAGATTTAACGCATGATTTGTGTCAATGATGCTGATGTTATTATTTTTCCTTTCTACTATTAAGAACATTGAATAATCGTGATGCTGATTGACAACAATGGCTGTATTTCGTAACGAATGACATATTGATCAGATTCAATTGAGTTTGTCATTGCTTGAATAATAATTAGTTTAGTGTTGAACTGATGAAACTAGCATCACGAATAAAATAAAAGTAAATAGAATAATGTATGTTCAAGAATTTTGTAGTTGATGTTCAGATCATATTTGTTAACAAATCCAAGTACATCTTTATTATCTTTTTCATAATCAAGATTTGTTTGGTTTTTTTATTTGGCTGTCATCTTGTGTATTGCTCTCATAAGCATCATGAAAAAAATACTTATTGATCAATAACCACGTTTGTTTTGATTTTATTGTTTCTATTAATTGTGTTTTATTTGAAATCAAAATATTGATTCTGTTTGAATAAAATCATTTACCAGGGGAACATTTATGAGTTTACATCAGTGTTTGTATGATTTATATATTGATCAATTGAACAACCGTAAAAATTGTACATGGTAAGCTGTTTGTAGAGCATTTGCCTCGTTAACAAACACTTGTGCATTTGCCACATCTATTCAAAGATGTATCATTTGCTGCTACTGGGATTGTCATCTATCGTATGATCGAATCACCGTTGTTTGTTCGTTGATATTCATAAAGCTCGTTTGAATAAAAGTTAATCCTATCATAATATTCTAATGCTTTCTTCTAAAAATATACTTGTTTCCATGAACGTTGACAGTATTCATTAGATGAATTTGATTCTGGTGATTGTTTTTGCATATATGAGTGAATAGTGCTCGTCTTGTACGGTTGGGTTCCGAACACGAAAATCCTTATATCTTAGCTTCTAATCAACCAGTTCGGACAGTTTTTTTCCAAATAATTGTTAATATCGATCCTACTTACCGTAAAAATATTAAGCCTTTTATCTGCCATCGCTGTGAAATTTTCAAGAAATAAAGGTCAAAAGTCAGTGCTTTTTGGCGCCATCCACTTACAAAAAATTACTTTTTTGTCCGACAATATTGATTAGATGGAAAAGGTGTTTTAGAACTGTTGTGTAACTAAGATTTTGCTATTTCTGAACATATAAGTTGATCACAGCTTTAGTTTTGATTTATCCGTCAAATCATGCAAAAACCACCGACATATGCACTTTGACCATCTTATATTTTGACAGATTAAATTGAAACTACTAAAGTTAATTTGGAAACAAATGCGAATTTTGTTTTTCTTTTCAATAGACTACAGATCTATAGATCTTGTAGCAAAAATTTTTCTTACTAGGACCTTGTGGATGAAACACAATACCAAAAATGAAACGAAAAATTAGCTATTTTTCTATTAAATGTCCCGACGAATTTTCAATTTTGTTTCTTTTATTTCTTCGTAACTACAGGAGAATAATTAATAATTTCTTTTATCATTTTTAGCAGACCATGCAATAGAACTGTAGTGGATACTTCTGTTCTTAAAACCGCAGCGTTCAGGAAAAAGTATTATTTTACTTGAAAAATGTCCCAACACATTTTAGTAATGTTTATTTAAACAAAAAAAGATTAATTTCATCTTATTGTAAGTTCAATTGACTAGTCGCGGACTCAGACGTTTCCAAATATCTACTAGCATTCTCTTACTCTGAATGACTATGAAGACTCTTTTTTCTCTTGCTTATTATTATGCAATAATAAATGATTCGACTGATATAAAATAACTACCTGAAATATATTCCTTTAGAAGTTTTATTTTCATAATACTTGGCATACTTGATTTTTTTCCTATCTGAAGAAACTGACGGTTGGGGAAATACTCCACTTTCATACAACAAATGAAGCTGTTTCGAATGTGCAATGCAAATTTTATTCATATTCACTTTGATTTTTTCAATTTTTTTCGTCAAACTGCATAATACGAGCGGAATTCATCTATAGCTGATGTGTGACTTATAAAGTGTTTCACTTTTATCGCCACTCTTGGTAATGATGTTTATTTAGCTACTTCACATCTTCAGAGTGTAATCACTTCATATGTAACATACGCTTATATATAGGAGAGAACAAGAGAGTGCAAGGTGAACAACAGAAAAGACAATGAAGATAAGATATGCAGAGAAACGAGGAAAGAAGGATTAGCAGGAGCCGACATCAATGTTGGCATACTTCTACTAATACTTATTTCAAAGAAGAAAAAGTGCGAGTGTTTTTTCAATAAATTTTGATAGAAACTAGATGGAGAGATGCGGTTTTCACCATTTCAAAGAGAAGATGAATCTGCATCTAATCATGCATAGATACTGGATGTTTCTAGTAAGTTTTATTAGAGTCTGCTATCAAATTTATTAAAAACAAAACATCGTTTAATGTGAAAATTTTGCAATTTTAATTCTCAGGAGTGCTCTAGTATCATTAACTCAAGATCTATAAATTATGGAAGTCAGATGTTGTACAGTTCAACCAATCATGAGTTATATACATTTCAATACATGTTACCGGTGATCTTTATAAAGAATTGGAGAAAATATAAGAAAACTTTTCAGAAACTTCTGTTATACACGGTTCGACGCAGTTTCATCTCCTCTTTTTAACGGTGAAAACGGCAGCTATCTATCTAGTTTCTATCAAAAAGTTATTCCAAATATGCCCAAACTTTTCTTTTTTGAAATAGGTTAAAGTAATTCTTCAGAAGCTCTTAATGGTTCAATTGTAATCATTGAATCATCAACAAATTTAACTAAATTTCAAGATTGAATTTGACTGGTATATCACAAAATAGTTAATTTTTGTAATGTTTCAAATAAAATTTGGTATATCACAACCAGATTTTCCATGACATGGTAAAAAAGATGTGGTTCAGTTATATTTCATTTGTTTTGTAGCAACTGTCTGATTTCTTTGACATCGATAAACGTAGCTATTTTCGTTCATTTGTTAAGTTTCTAGTAAAATACTTTGACTAAATTATTAATTTGATATGAGCTATTGATGAAATGTAGACATCAAGATCATTCGATCGTATAATCATGACACCGTAGGAGACCGCGTTGCACACTCAAGACAGAAAGTTGTTAGGATGTATATAAGAAAGTATTTCATGAAATAGTAGTAAGAAATTCAAAATAATCTTGGTAGTTTTACTGGACAATAACGAACAGTTTTCAGTTATTGAAAGGGCATAAAACGCCTTTCTGGTTATAAACTTGCATTTGGGCGTTCCGGTTATTGAATCTATCATCGTCATCATTCTTTTAAATATCCTATGCATGTAAAAACACACGTGTGCCAGTTTCAACGTGATTTGACTCTAAAGTTTAGAACGTTTTCGGATGTTGGAAGCAATAATAAACTACTTTTGTTGAACAATTCGATAGATTCTTGCTTTGAGCTAACTATTCTCAAACATTTTTCACTAGCAATAATTTAGTACGTTCATATTGTAAACAACAGGAAAGAACATCTTCAGCTAATTCTGCTCGATTACAATGAACAAAGTTTTGAAATTTGAAAGAATGTAAAATACTATTTTTTTTCAATCATATCATTATTATCGTTGTTTTTCATTGTCATGGGTATGATTTTTAATAAATTAGTTAACATTTTTACTTTGAGGAAAGACAAAAACAATATTAATTCGATCATAAGCCAGAAATTCTGTAATAATATTTGACAGCAATTGTTT